AAATTTAATAAATGATAATTGATAATTGGCAGATAGTCAGATTTAATTTGTGGGGTTTGGATGTAAAATGTGCACAGGAAAGGTTTTAGAAAGTTAATAGAAATGGTACTTTTCAAAACGAAAATATATCAACATGCATTTTAAAGGTTGCACACACATAATATACTAAGTGTTGTAAAGTTCGACCTTAATGCCGCACGCCATTGAAGACTGAAGTGTCCATTCTGGTATATGATATTTACTGCTCGAAAAGATAGTGATACACAAAATCAGTTTATGTATTATTTAAAAAAAACGAAAGAAAACTTATAATTCCATTTTTATTAATATTTCTGAAGTCAAACTTTAGTAATTCGATCTATTCAGTCGAAGCTCGGAGTTGTCAACGGCTTCGTCTTCGATATCCTCTCCCATTTTCAGGGTTTATTTTTTTTTGCTTATTTCTTTTCGGTAGATGTTAATACAGATTGGCAGTCCATAGTCAAAGTTATATGTCACCAGTGTCAAAAATTAGTTTAATTTAGTCGTGTATTCTTTTTATTTGAAGTAAAAATCTATTTGGTAGATTTTTGTTACGAAACGCTTTACGAGGCCTAATTACCCATTGATACCTATGACATTTCAGTACCACGTGACCCTATCTAATTAGTGGAGATTTTAAATCCGAGGATCTTATTACTGACGTTTCATGGTTTAAATACAGCAGTTTTAAACATTTTTTTTTAATCAATTATAACTATATGTTTCGAGAATTTAATAGTGTTTGATTATTAAAAGAATTAGATCAGTGATAAGAACCGTTTAAGTCTATTGGAAAATAAATATCAATAAATGTTTGAAGGTGATTGTGGCCATATTTAGGCGTATTGATCTCCTTTACAAGAAGAGATTCATATATAAAGATTTATAGTTTGAACTGTTCGTGGATTGCGCTAAAAGAAAACGTATTAGTCTGTTGAAAATTAAATGTCGGTATACGTTTAGAAATAATAAAAAAATAATGATTCACAGGCCACATTGTGAGATTTCAAAGCAAAAGTTATGCTATTATTTGCACATAGCAGAAATCTCTAATTTTCTGTTATACCAGTACAAAAGATTTATTAATTTATGTACTTTCAACTGGTAGTAGGAAGCAGTTATTGGAAACAATAACAATTTTGTATCATTAGGATTGGATTAAAAACCAACAGATGATTACTCCTTTTATGATACTATTTGTTTTAAGTAAAATAAAATAATAATGGATTTGATGAACGTTTAAAAATATTTCTTAGTTGGAATTCAATTCCGTGGATACATTTGCTCGCAAATTTAATTGCTTTAGAAATAAATATAGTTGCAAAATTCATCTTTAAAGAAAATTGGAAAGAAAAACTCTTACGTTCATCAATCCACATAATACTTTTCCACATAAATAATTCCATACAAATTTAAAAGTTCTCTAAGGATTTTCATTTACAAGCAAACTTGAATTTTATATTATAATTACACTGGTCTGTCTTTTTCAGGTGAATATGACATAGGTATTACTTCTGGACATGTTTTAATTTCTTTAAAATATATTATACTCTAAACTTTGAAACATGTTTTTGTCTCTGTATTGCATTTTACAATAATTTTTTTTTTATTTTGATATTATAATGGTATTTAATCCTCGCCATCTACATGCATTTTTCTTTTATCTGATATGAAAGAAAATCAAATATTTATTTGAATTAATGTATATTTATATGAATCGCACGGAACTTAAATTTTCAACTACATTCGAATGAATTAATAATATTATCATTACGCTTTTTCCTCTATATTTTCAACTTCTTGTGATTATTATGACGATGAACAGTAATGTTCCATTTAACTTTAAATTTATTCACTGAACAGGCATTTATTCTTTTTTCCTCATTTTTTTATCTTCTTGGTTTTTCATTTTTTGGGTACTCCGATCCTCTGATAGGAAGGATAACTCTTTGATTCATAATCAAATTTAAAAAATCTCAAAATGAAGCTTGAAAATTTATTCCTTTCATGCAACAATTTTCAATTTAATTCTCTCAATGTGCTATAATGTTCTTTGAACTTCTGAGAAAGGTTTTATAAAAAGTCGAAATTTTTACCCCATAAAAGTATCTTAAGATTACCTATTTAATAAAATTTATGTTAATTTCATCTAACCATAGATATCAATGTTTATCAACATGATATGAAATTAGAAGTAATTTATGATGTTTTGCAATGATAGGAAAATCGTTATACACTGATCGAATTCAATAAAAGTACCGTATTTGTATAAAATTTGTGCAATTTCTTCAAAAGACTGGATACATATGATTTTTAAACATGGTTGTTGATCAAATGCATAGAAGGTGTTTTAATTCGTATTTCTTGAAAAATTATTTGATATTTACTAATTTTCCTAATATAAAATGATGAATTTTAAAGTTGAAGTTTTAAGAACTATCGTGTGTAAAAACACGTTACTCTGAGAATTCAGAGACATTTTTGTGATCATTTTCAATATGTCAATGCCTGGTTTTTAGATCCTGAGGATCGAGGTACCTAGAATTATTATTTTTTTTAAAGTAATTTATAATGAAAGTATGTGTAATCCAACGATATTGACTCGTTATATGTCATAAAATTTCCCTTGATTTTTTCCCCTTTTCATTTTTAGCCGGGCTTATTGATCAAAGAGCAATTGCCGGCTTATGTGATCCTGTTCAAGGCAGGATGTTGACCCCATAGTCGCCATTTTAAAGTTACGTGCAAAAATATAGTTCTTACTCTCAACGCTTTTGAGATAATACAAACGCTAAATAAAGCAACAAAAATAAAACGGAAGTTTTATCTATATAAAATAAATATTAGTAGTAATGACTTTGAATACTTCATAAGTCAAAGAACATAGTTCATTAGCGTAAGGATTTTTGATACTCAGTGTTACCGTAGTTCTCTACACATACGAGGTAAAGCAGGAGAGGGAACCAGACTGGCCTGTTTGTTTACATTCAGCTGCAGTACCAGATTAATTCTGATTCTGACAAAATCGGACCGTGGTATTAGGATTGAAAAACTCACTGTCAGTGTCTTATCATTTATATTGATAGTTTTAAAATAATTTTTTCATCAGAATATAAACGTGATTCATGTAAGAAATCCATTCTACTCTGTAAATGAGCCCGGCTCTCTGTACTTTTGAGTACTTTGATTAATGTTATAGTGTTCAAAAACTGTAATCTGTTAATTGATTTAGTGCTAGTCATCATGTTGGTCAATTGTTTATCCTTTACATTTATAATATTTTATCACAATTTCTACTTTGGTTGCAAAATTAAAGAGTTCACTTTCCGTCTAATTTAGTTGTCAAGATATATGGAGCATCAGATTTTCTCTTTCGGGTTTCTAAGATAAGGGAATAACTTTTTATCAGATTTCTCCTTTAATTACAAATATAAGGGGTCTTTTTAAAGTATTTCTAGTGACAAGTTGTCATGATAAAAGGAGTCTATGTTGCATTCAATTTTCTCTTTGCGTTTCCAACACTAGGGTTCTGTTATTATCATACATGGATTTCTTTAGTCGCCATGTTTATTTGTCTCCCCCTTTTTATTAGGATTTCTCTTTTAGATGCCAAGATAATGAGCCTATTTCAATCCAATTTTCTCTATTCGTTTCCATCATAAGGTGGTCAATTTTTATCTAACCTTTGTTCTTTTAGTTGCCAAAAAAACATCTCCACTTTTTATCAGACCTCTGATTGTTTTTTATAGTTGCCAAGATAAAGGATGACATGTGGGAACAGCTAGAGTGCGTGTCGGACTATGGTTTGTCCGCGGATGATTCTGACCTCTCAAGACGGCAAAGTGCCCGGTAGTATTATTACGCATTGGATGCATTGTATTCGTTAAAGATTCTTCCTTTACTTTTTCCCATTTCATTAAACGAATGTTATTCCTTTAAATTAATTGATGACTGTTTTAAATATTTGATTGTAAAGAGAGGAATGCCTAAAATATTAAAGATCTACATCTAAGCTAGTGCAAAATCAAATATATTTGAGAAGAAAAATTGTTGATGTCATGCGTGGTTCTTTTTTTTTCAGGAAGGCATCGTTGCGAAGAAATTCTCGATTTTCCAATCCGACAGACATCAAACGTAGACTCTCACAGTTAAATGCCATAGCAGAAAGAAGTCTAAATTTGATGAAGACCATGAACAATGCCGAGTCACAGCGAAGCTTTTCGAGGTCGAATTCGAAAAGACGCTTGTCCAGACAGGACAAAATGAACCCGCTTGAAAAACTACAGAGGTCGTTATCACAGGGGCGTATCCTGCCGTACGACAGTGGTGGAGAGTCCGAACCAGAAGAGGGAAAACTAATCCAAGACGAAAAATCGGCGGAGGGGACAGTATGCATTGAAATGATCAATAGGCTTGCGAATTTCTTAAATTGCTAAAGTATTTTTCAAAGAAGGATTAAATTTTTTCACTGATCTTTGCATTATATTCAGATATATTAAATATTCAGATCTTTCACATCAAAGTAAACAGAAAGAATATTTCTAAAAAAGTTATTTATGATCTTAGTTTTTTCTGTATTTTAAAAATGTTCGATAACTCGTACTAAGAACTGTTTCTTACAGGTAAAACTCTCCGTGATTTTCACCTATATAAAAGCTATGGGAGTGATCGGTACCGTCCTATCAATGCTGTTTATAATACTTTTTCAAGGACTGAATGCCTATGGAAATTTTTGGTTGACATTTTGGACAGAGGATGAAATTATCAAAAATCATTCACTGATTACGACGCAGGAATATTCCAACCGAAAGTACTACTACCTCGCAATTTATACAGTCCTCGGTGTTCTCCAAGGTCAGATAAATAAGATTATATTTTTTTTGTTTCTTTTTTTTTGTGAACTTTATAGTGCATATAAATAAAGATACAATTACAATATTTTAAGTTACCTAGCTTTATTGGGATACAGTGTTTTATTAATATTTCTTTTCCAGGAATTTTCCTGTTTTCGTTTGTTTACCTCGGACTGACAAGGTTGATAACTGCCTCCGGATCCCTACATTCCTCCATGTTATTTTGTATTTTACGTTCACCGATGTCGTTTTTTGACACGACACCTGTGGGTCGGATTATGAACCGTTTCTCTAGTGATATAGATATATTAGATGACCGCCTTCCTCGAACCTTCAGGCTGTGGGCTGTGATGCTGTCTACCTTGTTAGCCATTTTGGTTGTGATATCAGTGAACACACCTAATTTTCTTATTGTCATTATACCCGTGGGCATTTTTTATATTTTAATTTTGGTAAGACTTAAGGTGAATTAAACATTAAATAGCTATTTATCTTTGAAAAATCAATATTTATTCAACTACAGTTACGTTTTTATCCTTAAAATAAAAGCAGTTTAAAAAGCAATATATTGCTAATATGGTTATTTCATTTGCTTTATATATTCCATACAATTCCATTCAATGTGTAAAAAAGAAATTGCCCATTTTTTTGTTACAAAGGATGCATTGTGTATCAGTTACGTCCATAAAGGGACATGACTTTTTAAGTTTTGAAACTGATTTCTTAAATTTTCTACTTTATAATTATGATTTTTGTTCTATCCTGCTTTCCAATTCAATCTGATGAAAAAACTATATTTCTTTCTAAATGAATGAACGATGTAGAGCCAATGTCTCTGTTAAAATTTTTATTTTTCAATCAGGTGAATTTCAAAAGATTTTTTAAGAAAAAAAGATCTCAAAGGGATAGTATCCCCTTGGAGTCAGTGTTTTCAATACTTGAATTATTTGCCAAGTAAGTTTTTTTCATTTTTCCGTTGCTTTGTTTCAGAGGTTCTACCTCCCTACCGCCAGGCAGCTGAAGAGAATTGAGGGCGTGACCCGCTCCCCTGTATATAACCACTTTAGTGAGTCTATCACCGGTGCCAGCTGTATCCGAGCCTACCGAGCAGTGGACCGATTTATTACCGAGTCCCAGGCCCGAGTAGACACAAACTCAACATTCTATCACGCCGCAAATACAGCCTCATGGTATGATTTTGTAGTACATCCTTTCTTAATAGAAAAAGCTTCAAGGTACTTAAACCAATGTTTTCACCATTTGCAGATACTGAGGAATTCTTTTTATAAAAATTGACTGAAAAAGTAGTTTATAGAAATTTTGAAAGAGTTTTGAAAAAGAACTACTAGTATATAAATGATACAGTATACTCAAGGAATGTGAATTTGAAAATTAATCCAAAATTTTTACTTTTCTTTTATATTTGAACTTTCACCTTTAGACAATACTTATCAACAAACACAGCTATTTCAGTTAGCTTATTACTAACCAACAAGTAAAAAGACACATCGTTTTATTTCCAACAGGTGGATTGCTATTCGACTAGAATTCTTGGCAAATCTTCTGGTGTTATCAGCCGCTGTGTTTTCTGTTCTTTCTGATACTTTGTCTGGGGCGGGGATAGGACTCTCCCTAACATACTCATTACAGGTATATAACATACACATTACAGGTATAACATACTCATTACTGGTATAACATACACATAACAGGTATATAACATACTCATTACAGGTATATAACATACACATTAAAGGTATAACATACTCATAATAGGTATAACATACTCATTTTATGTATATTACAAACTCAATACAGGTATATAAGGAATTCATAACAGGCTTTTAAGAAACTCATAACAGGTATATATTGCATACTTAGTTCAAGTAAATAACATACTCTTTAAAAGTATAACATACTAATTAGAGGTGTATGGCATACTTATTACTTGTAAACTAAACATATTCATTCAGGTATATATTATACTCATTACAAGTTTATCACACTCATTTTAGATGTAACATACCTATTTCAGGTGTAACACACTAATTTCATATATTTAAAGCGACTTCTAATATGAATTTACGTAAAATGATTTTTGAATTATAAATATTCAAAAAACGTAACTTTCCATGTACAAGATTTTATCCTTAGAAAATGTTTCAAAACTTTCACTATCGTTCAAATACTTCAAGCAAATATTTGACTTAGGGAAATTATTATCTTAATAAAGTTTGTAATCTCATGGTAAAATCTTCCATGACGTTCGGTTCAACCGGCTTTCAGTGACTTTTATGACGTTTCAGCGACCTTCATGACTTTAAGTGACCATTTAATGAACTAAATGGCGTTAGTTCTTCCTTGAACATCTTTTTATCTGAATACAGGTCTTAAAATAACTCAGTCTGCATATAGATTGAAATTTTGATATACATATATAGCTATGAAAATAAGATTTTTTCACATACCTCTGGAATTGAGTTCTGGTATTGTTCACTTTGAGCATGGGTTATTATACATGTACATGTATATATCAGACTTTTTGGTGACAAATACAGATACACTCGTTTACCTGAATGTTAAAACAGAACGTTACATTCACTAGGCCGAGCCAACTGAAATATCTCATAGTTTGAGGTAATATTCTCATATCAATGAGTCTTAGTGCATATTTGCAACAACCTAAAAGTGAATACAGACTCTAATACCCAGTATCTCAGATTTTGACTACATACACATTGTTAAGAATTTGAAGGAGTAAAGTTTAAAATATTAATATTGATAACTATCACAGTTTTTACATCACTGAAGCTGATTAGAATACAATGCTTTTGATTACAGGTTGTAATATCCCTGAATATGGTCGTCCAGTCTGTGAGCGAGATGGAAATGAATATCGTATCAGCAGAAAGGGTAGAGGAGTTCACGAGACTCCAACCAGAGGTGAATTAAATCGTATCAAAGTAATAGTCACAACCACATCAAACGATGAGTAATGAGATTAATATTAAAAATACAATTCATAGGTTTTTCAATAGATGTAAGTTATCAAGAGAAATATCAATTTGATCTGAGCAATTGTTAAGCTTTTTGTAAATACATGCAGTGGGATAACTAACTCTTATAAAGCTCAATATTAATCATTTCATATATGAAATATTAATTAAATCCACTTTTAACACAATTTTCATTGCCATTTGCATAAAATGTAATATTTGAAGGCTGAATGGATCAAACAGAAGAACCGCCCATCTCCTACCTGGCCTGACACGGGGGAGGTGGAATTTAAATCCTACACCACCCGGTATAGGGCCGGTTTAGACCTAGTGCTGAGAGGACTCGACTGTGTCATTAAAGGAGGCGAAAAGGTTTGGCAACATCTTTATTTGACTATAAAAATACCGTTGTAGTAAAGGAATTTTTTAAGACAGAAAATGATCACATTTTCTATGATATTTTGAGCAAATTTTTGAATATTTCGATATTGCAAAAATGCTAACTGCATCAACAGCTACGTTCGTTGTTTAAAATTTGTTGTTTTGTTTCTCGTGTGTGAAATTTTAGTTGTTTTTTTTCAAGGATATAGATTTTATTTACATTTTAATATTGAAGTTTTTTTCCTTTCATAGATAGGTATCGTAGGTAGAACAGGAGCAGGGAAATCATCCGTGACGCTGGCGCTGTTTCGCATCATTGAACCAGCAGGTGGAGACATCAGCATTGATGATATGTCGATATCTTTGATTGGCCTCCATGACTTAAGATCTAAAATAACAATACTACCTCAGGTAAGTGATATCTTCAAAATGAATTCGGGATACCTTTAATGATTTTTTATCGTGAGTAATTAACTTAAATTTATGAATCATTATAGTAGAAAGTATTGCATTATTACTGACATATTTCTCTATTACACCTTCTACTTTAGTACACAGTACTTTGTGAGCTATTATTGACTTTTTTATGTAGTACAATAACTTCAGTCTAATGCATTGAGTAATTCCAATAATACTTTTTTTAAGTTCCACATCTTCCTTTTGTCTAAATACTCAGTATCTTCTTTTATTTGTTTTTATATTTTGATATAAAATATTAAGATATAAAATTAACTTTTTTGCATTCCCCTATCAACTTAGACAACAGTACCGATCGAATAAGGATTTACAATGTACATTTCGCTTTCTACTTTGGTCCAAATTACTAAATAATTATTGGCATTGTTTTTTATTCTGCCTTCTACTACTAAAGTTCTAAGTAATTATTGACATTTTTAATCCCGCATTTTTCCAGGATCCTGTAATATTTTCTGGGTCCATCCGTTCTAACTTGGATCCGCTCCAGAGATTTTCAGATCAGGACCTTTGGGTGGCGATAGAGAGAGCTCATATGAAAGACTTCGTCACGCTGGCTGTGTAGGCAGCTAGATTAAGATGTCGGGGGGAAGGAGGCCAAAACTTCAGGTAACAGCTCGGGTGATAAAAAGAGGACTCAAGTAAGAGCTAAAGTAAGACTGAGGTGAGAACTCAAGTAAAACTCAATTGAATCTCAGAAGAATTTTAAGTTCAAACTCAAGTAAAAGCTCAAGAGAAAAGTCAAAAGGTCAAAACTTCAGATAAAAGCTCATGTGAAAAAAAGATAGCTAAAGTTAGATCTTAAGTAAGAGTCCAAGTGAGAACTCAAGTGAGAGTTCAAGTGAGAATTCAAGAGAAAACTCAAGTGTAAGAGATTAAAGCTCAATTCCTCAATACAAAGGTCAAATGAAAAAGAGAGAACTCAAGTGAGAGCGCAATTGAGAACTAAAGTAAGAGTGCAAGTGAAAACTTCGGGCGAAATGTTTGGATTAAAACATAATGTGAAAACTTCATATGAGAAATTCACGTTAGAATTTTTTTTAAAGAATCACAGTATCTTACATTAAAATGTGAATAAATCAATAAATTGAATACCAAACAAAGTCTATTTTTAAGAGAATTTTGGTAATTCACTTTCGCCGAAACTATAAAGCATGAATGCTGTCTAATTATCAGCGTTTTTTTTTCAAGAGGAGGACAGATTTTTTTGATAATTTTGAAATATATATATATAATTATATATATATAACGTAAATATTTGTTGGTCTTTTAATATGGATAATTCATGATGCAATTTTGCCACTAATAAAAGATACTGTTATTTATCAAAATTATCTATTAATACCATGTTCGAAAAAACTGCATTTGGATGATATCTTATGTATTAATGTATATTTTATATATATTGTGTAGTGTTGGTCAGCGACAGTTGGTGTGTCTGGCTAGAACTCTACTACACAAAACAAAGATCCTGCTGATTCTGGGACGAAGGGCCCGCGGCGGCCGTGGATGTAGAGACAGACGAACTGATCCAGAGGACGATTAAATCAGAGTTCAGTGACTGTACTGTACTGTCTATAGCTCATAGACTCAACACTGTGATGGATTATGATAGGTGAGTTACTGTCTATAGCTCATAGACTCAACACTGTGATGGATAACGATAGATAACTTCTTGTTTATAGCTCATAGACTTAACACTGTGATGGATTACGATAGGTGAGTTACTGTCTATAGCTCATAGACTCAAAACTGTGATGGATTACGATAGGTAACTTCTTGTTTATAGCTCATAAACTTAGCACTGTTATGAATTACTGTTTCATCTTGAGCTGAATGGCTCGATAATCTTATGAATTGAATGTAGCTGAACGTTTTAACATCATTAAATAAATTGACATCTTAAATCAATTCAATCATCAAATTCTTAATATTCTACTCTACTGCTGTCTTGGATTCGTGGGAAATATTTTCTACCTAATAAGTAAGTAGTAATTATTTCCAACGAATATTTTCTCATCTGGATTCGGCGGACGACATTTCAAATGTATATTTTGTATCTAATTATAGAAATATTCAAACTGTTTGTTTGATTTCAGCATTCTAGAAATCAGGAAGCATAATATTACTATTATTGATGGTTTTAATTAACAACAGAAGTTTTTATGGCCGTCCCATAATGATTTTTAATCTTATATTTTAACAGAATAATGGTGATGGACAAAGGATTGATAGCTGAGTTTGGAGCCCCTCAAAAACTACTGGAGGATAAATCCGGGGTCTTCTACTCGATGGCTAAAGATGCTAACCTCGTTAATTAACACATCTTATCTAGAATTATTACAGTACTGCGAAATCACTTATTTTGATGGCCTTTCGTTTTTGTTGTTTTCAAGGTATGAAGAGATTCCCATCTCGAATATTTCATATACATCACTACAGAACAATTCTTCAACAACGAAATAAAATCCCATGAACCATATATTTTCCTCATATTACGAAAAAATTACCCCTCGAAAATATGTGATTTTACAGTATTTATTTTGTTGCTGTTGCTCAATAAACGGATATCAAAATTGTATAAATTTGATTTCAAAATCATATTGTGTTCAATCTTGCTACTTGAGTTATGTGATGTCAGAACAATGGTACGAATATCCTCTTACAATAACTCCACAATTTCGTAGTCTCTAAAAACGGTCTTGTTAGATGTTCTGTGCAGTTCATGGTCAGGTATAACTAATGCTGTAGATGACGTCATTGTGAAACGATCATTGAATGTACGTAATCTTCTGAAGTGATCTCGTGCTGATGTCACAAGTGAGCTGCCATATAATCTGCAAATATTGGGTTTTTCTTGGTAGTAAAATATGTTAACAGTA